TGCTTTTATGGCGGAAAATTTGTCAACTTTTTCACTACACTATTGAGATGCATTAAATGAAAATTGTTACACAAAAGATTCTAGTTTCAAATCTCCCTGTGAGAATTTTTAAATTATCAGGGTAAATTAAGATTTTTTAAGATACCTGGCTGAGGAGTGGATATCCTTAAGCCCCAGTTTAGATTATGTTTCTATATCTTAATAGGCGCATCCAAGCATTCATGGATTTTCATCAAAATTGCAAAATGAATTGTTAATGTTGTTGTTTTTAGATTTATATCTAAATTTCCAAAACAACAAGGTAACATCTGTCAAATAGTATGGAAAGCCATAATGTATCCCCAAGCCATGTTCAATATATTTCATTGAAAATAAATCCTGGCCGGTCAGAATGGTAATCATGACCATGACCAAGATTTCAAACTTGACGAAGACAATGAAATATATAAAACATGACATGGTGCCCCTTATGGCTTTCCATAATGTAATATAAAAAAAAATTCCCCCCTAAAGACCAAATGGACCAGTTATATATTTTTGCACGATTTAACGTGTTTACTCTATATCTAAAAATAATATTGAGTAATTTAATCAAACGCGTATTACCTGTCCTTGTGCAACAGACCTACTTTATAATGATTTCAATAACTTTGATCTGGGTATTAGATGTTTCTTCAGTGTCAATTGTAGAAACCTTTTAATACATACGGTATTTCACTCTCCTGTTCAGCAAATGTTCTTTGTAACCGCAAACTACAGCAATAAATCACTCAAATTGTGCTTTTCCACAAGTATTACTTCATAGTAAGCAAACTAATTCTTTCAAGTTTCTTTATTGAATGAGGATTTTAATCTTATGCACATATTTAACGTGTATTTCGTAACGAATTTATATATTTATACAAAGCCATCAAATTTACAGTTTTGTAGATGATATACAAAAATACAAGGGAAACAGGGAAGATTTTCAAGAAATACCAGACACGTACATATTTTAAAATGAAAAATCAAAATACGTTTTACATTATTAATTTACTATTTTTATTTAACATTGGAGAAAGTTCTGCATTCTTAATGCATGGAAGTTCTAATCATCCAATCCATGGGTCAGGTGGGCAAAATGCAGATGTGATGGAAATCAAGCAAATGGTTTTGAATTTGACTACTGAGGTGGAGTATCTCGAGAGACAAATAGACATTATACCGGTACTAAAGCAGAATCTTACTGTTGTTGGTGAAGAAAAAAAGGCAAATGAGGAGCGAAACAAAAACCTAACTCTGCGGCTCAGTGAAGCGGAAAATAATATTGCTATTTGTGACAAGAAGAATGAAAACTTAACTCAAAGACTCAGTGAAGTTTACAATGTTTCGTCGGAAAACAAAGAGAATAACAAAGAATTGACTCAACAGCTCACTAATTCAGTGAACAACTTACACAATATGAAGATTCAGATGCGATACACAAGCTTGTCACTACTGGACTTGCATTCCAAGGCGGACAAACTCAATACAACATTAACTAGAAATGTTGATGATCAAATAAGGGATGTATATGATCGAATAACTTAAAAAATCAATCCCATTTTTGTTTTATAAAAATAAACATTACAAAAACAATAATGATTTTATTAAACGATTTATTCAGATATAACCATGATCACCAAAATCACAAAAAAGTAGCCTTTACGGCCGGTGTGACGTCATACAACGGCTCCTGGAGAAGCGGTACCTTGGTGTTTGATAAGATCGTCTACAACATAGGAGGAGGGTACGACCCAGTACTGGTGTCTTCACATCTCCTGTAGACGGATACTGTTTTCTTTGTCAACGTTCAAGCTTATAACGCACAAAATATATATACAAATTTAGTGCTAAATGGCTCGACTAAAGTCACAACGCTTGCCTATGGTTGAGGTAGTGATTATTACAATGCAGGGCCGAACTTGATGGTATTAAAGCTTCAAAAAGGAGATCGAGTTTGGGTCAAAGATTTGGGAATGATGGGACTGGGAATTCTACCAATGGCATTGCCCCTATCACCACGTTCTCTGGATTCCTAATATGATTCATTTAAAGAGTTTACTTTTAATAAGTTACATTAAATTGTTTAGCCTTTATCTAAATTATAACAATGATTACAGTTTCTTTTCAAGGAAATTAGGATTGAGTTATATTATTTTATAACGATATGTGTAACCTGGATGGTACTTTTTTCGGAAAATAAATTGTGAAGGTTTGTTTGTAAATTACTATTATGCAAAATGGTGAAAAATTATTTTGTGTTATTTGTATTTCTGACACCATTCAGGGTATGCTGATGATCGACATGACAAGTTTAAATTAAAATGGTAAAACCTAATAACTTCCCTATTTTCTTACTGTTAATGGTATCTAACACAAGCATGATACCACACCTGTGTTATGTCAAAAGAAAAAATACATAAAATAATTTTTCTGTGGGATGTGAGACCGGCATAAACCGAGGACGTTGAACAATAAACAAACATACATACCATATATGTTGCACAGTATTTAAATAACCTTTGATATATAGCAACGGAGTAAGGAGTTGATTCTAAGTTCGTGGTTTCGAATCCCACTGTAGGATGTGAAGACCGGTCCTTCTGAAGCGACTGTTTAAGTCGAAGCTCCGTGTTGCAGTTGTTGCTGGCACGATAAAGATACCCTTGGCTCAATGGCCCCGATTATCGAGTACAGGTCTTTATGTTTATTCAAGACAATTGCCCAAAACAAAGGTGCAACATCAACCCGTGCCGAGGGTGTTAATTCACCACCAATTAAAAGCGAACTAAAATGACAATGACAAACATATTTAAATTGTTTGGGGGACTACAGTCCCTGAAACGTTCATTTTCCCACCTGAACGGTGAACGAACGCTGAACGAATGGTGAACAAACACAGAGCGAACGGTGAGTGAATTTCAGGTGCTAAAATATAAATAAACAATAGATAAATAAATAATATAATTTTTTGTATAATATGTTTTAAAATGATATTTTGATAACACGATTTCAAAACATGTGTATTTGTTACCGAACGCGTGTAGTATAAATATAAAATCAATCTACTTATAAAGTAAATATATATGCTTATTCTTTTAACTAATAAAATAATGTGGACTGTAGAAGATAAAAATCCTACTAGAATGAATTATTAACATTGTACCCGGTTGAAACAACCATACATGTATTTCCGTGCCAAGGCGAGTAAAATAACGGATTTTTTTTTTAATTTACAAATGTCTGTTGACGTACTGCATAAATACACTCGTATTTTAAAATTCTAATGCAAAATATTAAAACATTATGTGTCATTTTTATTATTTTATGAAGATTATTTTAGCTTATTTTCTACATGTACCTATAGATATTTCCCGGCCGGGCCGTGATTATACTCTGACAAGATGATGGAAAGGGCAATCAAATTATTTGTTATAGATTAAATTTTCAAAACTCAATAAGTAATGTATTGTCATAGATTTTATTGAATAGAGAAATGTACGAGAGAGAGAGGAAGGGGAGAGAGAGAGAGAGAGAGAGAGAGAGAGAGAGAGAGAGAGAGAGAGAGAGAGAGAGAGAGAGAGATACCCCCTTCATTATAAGATATCTGTTGTATCAAATAATTTTTTTTTTATTTTTTTCTAAATTTTCCAAGCAGTAACAGTAAACATTTTTTTAAAAAGATTAACACAGTATTCATGGGCTTCTATTTTCCATCTTCAACTTCAACCGGTTGACAGGAATCCACGTGTTTATCCTGTCAATCATCAAAATCATTTGACACGGTGGAGGTGTGGAAATCTCGTTTCACCGAACATGCCGAAAGCAAAGAGTAACTTAGTATTTCCAAGAAGTTTAAATATTTTTTCCTATCATTTCTAGATCTGATTTTCGCATTTCTGCAGAAAAAAATAATGGGAATATATATTTGGAAGGAATAACTTTGAAATTGAATTTGAAACACATTCATAGGCGTCGGAACCGCTAACCCCCCCCCCCCCCCACTTTTTTTCCAGAAAATACTTAGTATAGATATTGAATATTGCTTCGTAGGTTTATCTCCCCGCACTTTCCACAGGTACGTCGCAGTATAGCTTAATAATGGGGAAAGTGTTGGTCTTTGGTGAAAACAAATTTTGGTACTGAAGGTCGAACCAATTTCAGTGATTCATTTACTTTGTAATAATTCATAAAATTAAGTGAATAGAAAGCATATTATCTCTAAAATTAAGTAATAATTATTTACCAAAAATGATTAGTTAATTTACTACGTAATATAATTCCTATTGTTTAAGTAATTCTATTGATACTTAGTAAATTATTTTATGATTAAATGAATTCATCCTTATTACTAATTATGTTTACAATTACGAACCATGATAGTCATTTACTTCCTATCCTACTAAATGGAATACTAATAATTACTGGTTTTTCTTAATCTAATATGTTATTTTATAAACACCAAGTAAAACTTTTTTATAGTGTACTAGTGTTTTATCATTTTTGAAAAGCAGTGATATTGCCTATACCTTTCGTCTCTCAAGTCGATTATCTTTAGCCTCTAATGCAGCTTTATTTTGCAATGAAAATTCAACAATCAACCCTCCCAAAACAACATTAAAAAACGTTAACTTATAATAATATTTCATTTTTTTTTGCAAATGTTCCAGACCTGTTATTGAAGATTTATAAGAGTTTTAAAATATTATTGCTAAACAAGTCAGCATTGTTATTGGTGTTTCTGAGGGCATTCAGGGCTTCTTTCTGTTAATTGTATCTAAAACAAGCATGATACAGCATGTGTGTTATGTCAAAAGAAGAAACACATGAAATGAATTTTACGCGTTTAAAAGCCTGCATGGTGCAGTGGTAGAGCGTCTGCTCTGATATCGCGAAGTAAGGAGTTAATCCTTACGTCGCGGGTACGAATCCCACTGTAGAACGCGGAGACCTGTCCTCCGGATGAGATGGTATAATCCGAGGTCCCGTGTCACAGAAGATGCTGGGACAAAAAGATCCCTATATCTGCTCAGTGGATGTGAGTGTCGAGTTTAGGTCAACATTAGCAGCTCCCCCCCCTGGCAAGTGGTAGCGTCTCTATATGCGTAAAAATTCTTGAGAGGGACGGTATACAAAAAACAAACATATTTAAAATGTCGAACAGTGGATGAAATGTTCGCTATAGAGTCACTGAGTAAAGTGTTGATCTTTACGGTTTCGAATCCGTCTGCGGGACGTGGAGACCAGTATAAACCGAGGACGTTAAACAATAAACAAACATGCATACCATATATGTTGCACAGTATTTAAATAACCTTTGAATTATAGCAACGGAGTAAGGAGTTGATTCTAAGGTCGCGGTTTCGAATCCCACTGGGGGGATGTGGGAGACGGCCTCTGAAGCAACTGTTTAAATCGAAGCTCCGTGTTGCAGTTGTTGCTGGCACGATAAAGATACCCTTTGCTCAATGGCCCTGAGTGTTGAGTACAGGTTTTTATTTTTATTCAAATAATTGTCCAAAACAAAAGTGCAACAATCAAACCCCTGCCGAGGATGTTAATTCACCACCATTGAAAAGTGAACTGAAATGACAATGACAAACATATTTAGATAGTTTGGGGGACAAGAAATACTAGAAAGTGTTTGTGTACATAAATTGAAGTATTCAAAATTAAACGCAATCACTAAATGGTTAGCATTATCATGTTTTAAAACTAAACCCGTCCGCGCCGTATACTGTACATAGGGAAATATTTGCCCCCGTTTTATTTTCGTTCTAACCTCGGCTGGGCGAATTCAAAGAATACAATATAATTTCTTTAACAAAACTGTGACTGGGCGAATTTAAAACAGGGCAACATTGTTTGCACATGTAAAAGGGCGAAAATAAGGGGGGGGGAAAAATAACCTCGTGTACAGTATCGTATTTAAATGAATTATTTTAAGGACAGATGATACAAACAATCTTTTGTCAAAAAATTTGAAAATATCAATTTGAGTCATTTTTTTATCAATAATATCAATATCACCGCGTAGTTTTTGAATTTTTATTGAGTTTTACACAAATGGGACTTGAGGTGAAAAATATTTGATAGACTAATAAGGATGGTTCCAGTGAGAAAGAATTTTGAACATCATAGAAGGTTTACAAGGTTTATTTTTTTTAGAAATTTATTATTTGCTTTATTTTCAATTAAATTAAGCCAAAAATATATAAAGCCATCCATTTTTTGTTTGTATCATCTGTCCTTAATAATGGTATTATAAGTAAGCGAATTATTGTCCGCACCAAAGCCGCTAAAATATGACGCTCGCTTTTTTAAGCACACATACAGTAAATATTGAAGGAACGCAGCCATAAATTAACATAGGTTTCCCACAATACAGTATATATACTGAAAAAAAAATGTTTTAAACATAAGTACAGGCCTGAAGTCGTAAATACTTACATCAATTCTTTAAATAGTCTATTTGATCTAGATATGAAAAGTTTTTATATATTCAGTGTCAAGTGCATTATCAGTTAAATTAATCCCCTGTAAAAACT